CAGCAGAGTGTTCTTGTTTGCTGTGGACTCATCATGTTGTGTTTATAATAATAATAATAATAATAATAATAATAATCATAATAATAATCATAATAATCATAATAATATAAGTGTGATTCAATACAATAACCAGCAGAGTGTTCTTGTTTGCTGTGGACTCATCTTGTTGTGTTTCTAATAATAATAATAATAATAATAATCATAATCATAATCATAATAATAAATATAATATAAGTGTGATTCAATACAATAACCAGCAGAGTGTTCTTGTTTGCTGTGGACTCATCATGTTGTGTTTCTAATAATAATAATAATAATAATAATAATCATAATAATCATAATAATCATAATAATCATAATAATAATCATAAAATAATAATAATAATAATATAAGTGTGATTCAATACAATAACCAGCAGAGTGTTCTTGTTTGCTGTGGACTCATCTTGTTGTGTTTCAAAGAATCATAATAACAATATAATAACAAATATAATAATAAATATAATCGTAATATTACAGTATTTTAAATGGTTGTACTGATGCCTTTATGTCAAGCTGCTGTGAGTCCCCTTTGGGAGAGAAAAAAAGTAGGGAAATAATAATAATAATAATAATAATAATAATAATAATAATAATAATCTGGATTAATGTATTGTTGAAGGCTTTCATGGCTGGAATCACTGGGTTGTTGTAGGTTTTTTTGGGCTGTATAGCCATGGTCTAGAGGCATTCTCTCCTGATGTTTTGCCTGCATCTATGGAAAGCATCCTCAGAGGTAGTGAGGTCTGTTGGAACTGGGAAAAAAGGTGTTTATATTAGGCCTGTTTGATCAAGAAAAAATTTGTTTCTAAAATCGATTTGTAATTGGGGTGTTTTTTTGTTTCGATATTTAAAATAATTACAAAACTTTCCCAAAAAAAGTTTGGTATTTACGAAATTTTGTTAATATTTACAAAACGTTTTGTAAAGATGGCACCCTTTTTTTTTTCAATATTTTTTCTATATTTTTAATTTAATTATTAATTTTTAATCTGGGATAAACTGAATTAAGGGAAGGCAGGCACTCACTCTGGCGGGCCCTCTCGCTCGCCGCTCGCCCTCTCGCTCGCCGCTCGCCCTCTCACTCGCCCTCTCGCTTGCCGCTCGCCCTCTCACTCACCCTCTAGCTCGCCGCTCGCCCTCTCGCTCGCCGCTCGCTCGCCGCTCGCCCTCTCGCTCGCTGCTCGCCTTCTCACTCGCCCTCTCGCTCGCCGCTCGCCCTCTCGCTCGCTGCTCGCCCTCCTCACTCGCCCTCGCCGCTCGCCCTCTCCCTCGCCCTCTCGCTCGCCGCTCGCCCTCTCACTCGCCCTCTCGCTCGCCGCTCGCCCTCGCACTCGCCCTCTCGCTCGCCGCTCGCCCTCTCACTCGCCGCTCCCCCCTCGCCCTCTCGCTCGCCCTCTCGCTCGCCGCTCGCCCTCTCACTCGCCCTCTCGCTCACCGCTCGCCCTCTCACTCGCCCTCTCGCTCGCCCTCTCGCTCGCCGCTCGCCCTCGCCCTCTCGCTCGCCCTCTCGCTCGCTTGCTCAGCCGGCGCGGAGAGAGGAGAGCTCCCAGCAAGCCAGGCGGCCATCTTACGTATTTCCGAAATGGACGGAAATACAAAATTTTTTGGCGCCTGCCGTTTCGATATTTAAAAACCCTTCCGGGTTTGAAAATATGTTTTGTTATCGTTTCGTATATGCAAAAATTAACGAATGTTTAACGAATTAACGAATTAACGAACGAAACCACACAGGCCTAGTTTATATATCTGTGGAATGACCAGGGTGGGACAAAAGACTCTGGTCTGCTGGAACTAGCTGGGAATGGGTTGTTGTAGGTTTTTCCGGGCTATATGGCCATGTTCTAGAGGCATTTTCTCCTGACGTTTCGCCTGCATCTATGGCAAGCATCCTCAGAGATAGTGAGGTCTGTTGGAAGTAAGAAAAATGGGTTTATATATCTGTGGAATAATGACCAGGGTGGGACAAAGGACTCTTCTCTGTTAGAGTGAGGTGGGAATGTTTCAACTGACCACCTTGATTAGCATTTGATGGCCTGGCAGTGCCTGGAGCAATCTTTTGTTGAGAAGTGATTAGACGTCCTTGTTGTAGGTTTTTCCGGGCTATATGGCCATGTCCTAGCAGCATTTTCTCCTGACGTTTCGCCTGCATCTATGGCAAGCATCCTCAGTGGTAGTGAGGTCTGTTGAAAATAGGAAAATGGGTTTGATGGCACTGCCAGGCCATCAAATGCTAATCAAGGTGGTCAGTTGAAACATTCACACCTAGCTCCAACAGACAAGAGTCCTTTGTCCCACCCTGGTCATTCCACAGATATACTATAAACCCTTTTTCCTAGTTCCAAGAGACCTCACTACCTCTGAGGATGCTTGCCATAGATGCAGGCGAAACGTCAGGAGAGAATGCCTCTAGGGCATGGCCATACAGCCCGAAAAAACCTACAGCAACCCATTCACACTTCGCTCCAGCAGACAAGAGTCCTTTGTCCCACCCCGGTCATTCCAGAGATATACTATAATAAACCCTTTTCCCAGTTCCAAGAGACCTCACTACCTCTGAGGATGCTTGCCATAGATGCAGGCGGAACGTCAGGAGAGAATGCCTCTAGAACATGGCCATATAGGCCGGAAAAACCCACAAGAACCCAATAATGTGGATGGTGTGAGACCTTAGGCTGACATAAGCCGTCTGGAAGTGGCATGTGTGTGACCTGCTTGGCTGATGTGTTTCCAATGGCAGAGCAGGAGAGGCCTGAGCACTGGGCAGAAGGGGTTGAGCTAGATGTCCTCTGGGTTCCCCTCCTTCTCTGCCTGCTTTGGGGGCGTGTCTCCGTAGGCCCCGCCCTTCCTGTCCGGGGAGAGGGGCTGTTGTGTTTCAAATAATAATAATAATAATAATAATAATAATAATAATAATAATAATAAATATAATAATAATATATTATTATTATTATTAATATTATTATTATTATTATAAGTGTGATTCAATGCAATAGCCAGCAAAGTGATTTTGTTTGCTGTGGACTCATCTTGTTGTCTTTCAAATAATAATAATAATAATAATAATAATAATAATAATAATAATAATAATAACAATATAATATAATAATAATATTTATTATTATTGTTGTTGTTATTATAAGTGTGATTCAATACAAAAGCCAGCAGAGTGACCTTGTTTGCTGTCGAATCATCTTGTTGTGTTTCAAATAATAATAATAATAATAATAATAGATATAATCTTACAGTATTTTAAATAATAATAATAATAATAATAATAATAATAATAATCTGAAAATGAAAATGAACAAAATCTGGCTACCAGTATTAAAAAACTCTAAAATTATAACAGCTAAACAACAGAGAGGAAAAAACCAGGCACAGATTAACACCTCCCAGCAACAGATTTTCCCAGGCTCTGGCAGGCCAATCTTACAGTATTTTAAATAATAATAATAATAATAATAATAATAATAATCTGAAATTGAAAATGAACAAAATCTGGCTACCAGTATTAAAAAACTCTAAAATTATAACAGCTAAACAACAGAGAAGAAAAAACCAGGCACAGATTAACACCTCCCAGCAACAGATTTTCCCAGGCTCTGGCAGGCCAATCTTACAGTATTTTAAATAATAATAATAATAATAATAATAATAATAATCTGAAATTGAAAATGAACAAAATCTGGCTACCAGTATTAAAAAACTCTAAAATTATAACAGCTAAACAACAGAGAAGTAAAAACCAGGCACAGATTAACACCTCCCAGCAACAGATTTTCCCAGGCTCTGGCAGGCCAATCTTACAGTATTTTAAATAATAATAATAATAATAATAATAATAATAATCTGAAATTGAAAATGAACAAAATCTGGCTACCAGTATTAAAAAACTCTAAAATTATAAGAGCTAAACAACAGAGAGGAAAAAACCAGGCACAGATTAACACCTCCCAGCAAGAGATTTTCCCAGGCTCAGGCAGGCCTTCAAATGCTAATGAAAGTTTCACAGCTAACATTCACACCTAGCTCCAGCAGACAAGAGTCCTTTGTCCCACCCTGGTCATTCCACACATATATAAACCCATTTTCCTACTTCCAACAGACCTCACTACCTCTGAGGATGCTTGCCATAGATGCAGGCGAAACGTCAGGAGAAATGCCTCTAGAACATGGCCCTATAGCCCGAAAAATCCTACAAGAACATCTTAACACCTCTCAACAAAAGATTCCCCCATGCTCAGCCAGGCCGTCTAATGCTAATGAAGGTGATCAGCTGAAACATTCACACCTAACTGCAGCAGGGAAGAGTCCTTTGTCCCACCCTGGACATCATTCCACAGATATATAAACCCATTTTTCCTATTTCCAACAGACCTCACACCTCTGAGGATGCTTGCCATAGATGCAGGCGAAACGTCAGGAGAAATGCCTCTAGAACATGGCTCTATAGCCCGAAAAAACCCACCAGAACCTAATAATAATCTGGATTGTGTGAGAGGTGAGGCTCACATAAGCCACCTGGAAGCAGGCCAAGCTTGGCTGATGTGTTTCCAATGGCAGAGAATTGGGAAAAAAGGTGTTTATATATCTGTGGAATAATGACCAGGGTGGGACAAAGGACTCTTGTCTGTTGGAGCTAGGTGTGAATGTTTCAACTGACCACCTTGATTAGCATTTGATGGCTAATATATTATTATTATTATTACTACACCTGGAAGCAGGCCAAGCTTGGCTGATGTGCTTCCAATGGCAGAGCAGGAGAGGCCTGAGCACTGGGCAGGAGGGGTTGGGCTAGATGTCCTCTGGGTTCCCCTCCTTCCTTCCTTCCCTGCCTGCTTTGGGGGCGTGTCTCCCTAGGCCCCGCCCTTCCTGGCCAAAGAGGAGGAGGAGGAGGCGAGGGTGCTGAGGCTCGGCTTCCTCTTTCTCCCCCTTCTCCTTCCTCTTCCTGGGCAGCCATGGGGGGCTCCTCCGTGCGGATGCTCCGGCTCCTGCTGGCGGGGCTCCTCGTTCTCTTCGCTCCGGGCCCCTCGGGGGCTCTGCCGGGCCGGCCTCCCCCTCTCCCTCTCCCCTTGGCGGCGTCCTTGCGGGAGTCTCTCCCCTTGCTGGGCTCCCGCCTCGGGTGGAGGAACCTGACCTGCCCGGCCTGCAAGGCCCTCTTCGCCGCCATTGACCTCACCGTCCAGGTAGGCCCTCACCGTACCCTCCCTCAGCAGGAAAAGCCCTCTCCTCCTCCTCCTACTATTACTACTACTGTTATTACTATTACTATTATTATATTCAAGGGCCCCTGGAGGCAAAGGCAAGAGCCAGGCCTACCACTACTACTACTACTACTACTACTACTATTATTATTATTATTATTATTATTATTATCATTATCATTCTATTATTATTATTATTATTATTACTATTATTATTATATTCAAGGGCCCCTGGAGGCAAAGGCAAGAGCCAGGCCTACCACTACTACTACTACTACTATTATTATTATTATTATTATTATCATTATCATTATCATTATCATTCTATTATTATTATTATTATTATTATTATTATTATTATTACTATTATTATTATATTCAAGGGCCCCTGGAGGCAAAGGCAAGAGCCAGGCCTACCACTACTACTACTACTACTACTACTACTATTATTATTATTATTATTATTATTATCATTATCATTCTATTATTATTATTATTATTATTATTACTATTATTATTATATTCAAGGGCCCCTGGAGGCAAAGGCAAGAGCCAGGCCTACCACTACTACTACTACTACTACTACTACTATTATTATTATTATTAATATTGTTACTGTTATTATTCAAGGGCCTTTGGAAACAAGGAAGAGAGCCAGGGCCATTAGTACTCTTATTATTGTATTATTATTATTATTATTATTATTATTATTATTATTATTATTATTATTACTATTATTATTATTATTATATTCAAGGGCCCCTGGAGGCAAAGGCAAGAGCCAGGCCTACCACTACTACTACTACTACTACTACTACTACTATTATTATTATTAATATTGTTACTGTTATTATTCAAGGGCCTTTGGAAACAAGGAAGAGAGCCAGGGCCATTAGTACTCTTATTATTGTATTATTATTATTATTATTATTATTATTATTATTATTATTATTACTATTATTATTATTATTATATTCAAGGGCCCCTGGAGGCAAAGGCAAGAGCCAGGCCTACCACTACTATTACTATTATTATTGCTGTTATTATTGCTGTTATTATATATATATGGGCCTTTGGAAGCAAAGAGAAGCTTCCAAAGAATTAGCCTCCACCACACTCCGGGGCAGAGAGTTCCACTGCTGAACGGCTCTTACAGTCAGGAATCTTCAAACTACAAGAAAGGAGATTCCATCTGAACATGAGGAAGAACTTCCTGACTGTGAGAGCCGTTCAGCAGTGGAACTCTCTGCCCCGGAGTGTGGTGGAGGCTCCTTCTTTGGAAGCTTTTTAACAGAGGCTGGATGGCCATCTGTCAGGGGTGATTTGAATGCAATATTCCTGCTTCTTGGCAGAGGGGTTGGACTGGATGGCCCATGAGGTCTCTTCCAACTCTAGGAATCTATGATTCTATGATTCTAGTACTCTTCTTATTCTTATTCTAAGAGCCCCTGGAAGCAAGAGTCAGGCCTACTTCTGCCATTATTATTATTATTATTATTATTATTATTATTATTATTATTACTGATATTATATATATTCAAGGGCCTCTGAAACAAAAGGGGGAGCCAGGGCTGCTATTATTATTATTATATTTTGTTTTGTTAATCTTATGGTTATGTTGTTTTTACTTTGTATGTTCTGTGATTTTTACCTGGGAACTGCTCTGAGTCCCCTCGGGGAGATAGAGCGGTATATAAATAAAGTTTTATTATTATTATTATTATTATTATTATTATTATTATTATTATTATTATTATTATTATTAGAGCTATTCAGCAGTGGAACTCTCTGCCCTGAAGCATGGTGGAGGCTCCTTCTAGGGAGGCTTTTAAGCAGAGACTAGATGGCCATCTGTTGGGGGTGCTTTGGACTGGATGGCCCAGAGGTCTCTTCCAACTCTAGGATTGAATGATTCTGTAATTAGTATTGTTATTACTATAATATTAAAAGGGACTCAGGAAGCAAGGGTGAGAGCCAGGGCTATTGCTGTTGTTGTTGTTGTTGTTATAATAGTAAAACATCCTCTGGAAGCAAGGGTGAGAGCCAGGGCTATTGCTGTTGTTGTTGTTGTTGTTGTTGTTGTTGTTGTTATAATAGTAAAACATCCTCTGGAAGCAAGGGTGAAAGCCAGGGCTATTGCTGCTGTTGTTATTATTGTTGTTGTTATAATAGTAAAACATCCTCTGGAAGCAAGGGTGAAAGCCAGGGCTATTGCTGTTGTTGTTGTTATTGTTGTTGTTATAATAGTAAAACATCCTCTGGAAGCAAGGGTGAAAGCCAGGGCTATTGCTGTTGTTGTTGTTATTGTTGTTGTTATAATAGTAAAACATCCTCTGGAAGCAAGGGTGAAAGCCAGGGCTATTGCTGTTGTTGTTGTTATTGTTGTTGTTATAATAGTAAAACATCCTCTGGAAGCACGGGTGAGAGCCAGGGCTATTGCTGCTGTTGTTATTATTGTTGTTGTTATAATAGTAAAACATCCTCTGGAAGCAAGGGTGAAAGCCAGGGCTATTGCTGTTGTTGTTGTTATTGTTGTTGTTATAATAGTAAAACATCCTCTGGAAGCAAGGGTGAAAGCCAGGGCTATTGCTGTTGTTGTTGTTATTGTTGTTGTTATAATAGTAAAACATCCTCTGGAAGCACGGGTGAGAGCCAGGGCTATTGCTGTTGTTGTTGTTGTTGTTGTTGTTGTTGTTGTTATAATAGTAAAACATCCTCTGGAAGCAAGGGTGAGAACCAGGGCTGCTCCAGTTATTATTCTTATTGGATACACAACAAGATGAGTCCATAACAAACAAGATCATTGGCTGTTGCATTGGATTTCACATCAGACCCTTCCCAAGTGTCTAGGACTGTGGGGTGTATCGGCAAACAATGCGTGCAGACCCCAGTAGGGTGGCCTTTTGCAGCTGACTGCTGCTGATTTTGTCAGTGCTGATTGTTTTTAAGTGCAAGCCAAGGTCTTGAGGCACTGCACCCAGTGAGCCCATCACCATTATTACTATTTTGCTGACAGAAAAACACAGTATGTCACAACAAATGAGATCTCTATGCAGGATTTTGTATCACAAAATCACAAGTCGAACCCAAGCGTCTAGGAGTGTGTGATGTATTTCCAAATGATGTGCACATTATTTGAAACACAACAGGATGATTCCACAGCAAACAATTTCACTCTGCTGGCTTTTGTATTGGGTCACATACCGGACACTTCCCAAGTGTTTAGGACTATGATGTATTGGCGAATAATGCATGCAAATTTGAGCAGGGTGTACTTTTGCAGATAACAGGTAGCAATTTTGTCAGCACCGATTGTTTTTAAGTGCAGGCCAAGGTCTTAAGTGCCCACCACCACTGGGACCCCCTTGACTGGCTTGTGTCAGGGGCTTTGCAGTTTGATCTTTTCCAGTTGCTTATCGTCATTCCTGCTGTCGCCTGGGATTGCAACATTGATGATCCATACTTCGTTTTTTTCCATGATCATGAGATCAGGAGTATTCCTAGAATCCTAGAGTTGGAAGAGCCTTGTTGGGCCATCCAGCCCAACCCCATTCTGCGGAGAAGCAGGAAAGTCACTTTCAAAGCACCCCTGACAGATGGCCACCCAACATCTGTTTACAAGCCTCCAAAGAAGGAGCCTCCACCGCGTATTGTGCTCCAGAACTCTGTCCATCTGAATTCAGAACTCTGAATAAATATTATAATTATTATTATTGTCACAAAAGCACAGTGTGTCACAGCAAACGAGATCTCTCCTGGATTTCGTATCACAAAATCACAAGTCGAACCCTTCCCAAACGTCTAGGATGGTGTGATGGATTTTCGAATGATGCACACAGATCCCAGTCAGGTGGCCTTTTGCAGTTGAGAGATCGTGATTTTGTCAATGTTTATTGTTTCCAAATGCCGGTTGAGATCTTTTGGCATGCCACCCAGTGTGCCGATGATTTCCACTGGGACCACTTGGACTGGTTGATGCCAGAACCTCTGCCGTTCGATTTTGAGGTCTTGATAGCGGCTGAGTTTCTCCTGTTGTTTTTCCTCAATGCGACTGTCACCCGGAATGGGGACATCAATCATCCAGACGTTTTTCTTTTCCACAATCGTGATGTCTGGTTCCAAAACTTTCTCAGTCTGGATTCAAAAGTCCCACAGGATTTTTGCATGTTCATTTTCCATGACCTTTGCAGGCTTAAGATCCCTTTACCAGTTGTTTACTCTTGGCAGGTGGTCCTTGTGACATAAGTTCCAATGAACCATTTGGGACACAGAGTTGTGCCTCTGTTTGTAGTCCGTCTGTGCGATTTTCTTGCAGCAGCTGAGGAGATGGTCCATGGTTTCCTCAACTTCCTTGCACAGTCTGCATTTTGGATCATCAGATGATTTTTCAAACCTGGCCTTGATGGCCTTTGTCGTGATGGCTTGCTCCTGGGCTGCAAGAACCAGGCCTTCTTCTGCCTCCTTCTTCAGGGTTCCATTCGTGAGCCATCACCAGGTCTTCTCCTTGTCCACTTTACCTTCCATTTTGTCAAGGGACTGCCCATGTAGTTCTTTGTTGTGCCAGCTATCAGCTCTGGTTTGGAGTGCAGTTTTCTTGTACTGACTCTTTGTCTGCTGCTGCAAGAAAATCGCCCAGACGGACTACAAACAGAGGCACAACTCTGTGGCCCAAATGATTCACTAGAACTTCTGTTCTTTTCCTTCAATCTTCTCAAGGAACTGCCCATGTAGTTCTTTGTTGTGACAGCTCTCAGCTCTGCTTTGGAGTGCAGTTTTCTTGTACTGACTCTTTGTCTGCTGCTGCAAGAAAATCGCCCAGACGGACTACAAACAGAGGCACAACTCTGTGGCCCAAATGATTCACTAGAACTTCTGTTCTTTTCCTTCAATCTTCTCAAGGAACTGCCCATGTAGTTCTTTGTTGTGACTGCTCTCAGCTCTGCTTTGGAGTGCAGTTTTCTTGTACTGACTCTTTGTCTGCT